AGATTTTTGAAATGTGGGGTAGGATGGAAAGATTTATGGAGAAACATCACCCTGACAAGGCTGTTGCAAGCCATATTGGCAACTTGTACAGTGACAAAGTCTTGGCCCATTTTAGGGAAGTTTTAGAGAGATGCCTCTGGACACTATTTTTGCAAAAACCCAGGGCTCCAGTGGCTTACAAGAGAGAGTACCCCAGAAGTTGGCCATTAAGAAAGATCGAAATAGTAAAGTAACCCCCCATAAAAGAATGGATACCAAAAGGTCTGTATGGAATGGATTTCATCCCATCAACCTTTAGTTAATGTTCATTCAATTCTCCACTGTTTTGTATGTTCTTCCATCATCCATGATGAATCATCCAATCATGGTCAGTGTTTTTCTGTTAATGTTTCATTCATCATGTTCCACTGTATTGTTAATGTTTCATTCATCATGTTCCACTGTATTGTGTATGTACTACATCTATATTTCATGTAAAATAATTTTTTCTTTTAATACTTCTGGGTGTCTGGAATGGATTAATTGTATTTACATTATTTCTTATGGGGAAAATGGTTTCGAAAATTGTAAATTTCGGAAATAGTCACACTTTCTGGAATGGATTAATTACGAAAAACGAGGGTCCACTGTAGATTATTTAGGTATGCATACTGGTCAGAGAGCCCGTCGTAAGTCCGAGTTGTTGGTAAACGAGTACGTCGCTAAGTGAGGAGAGGCTGTATTAACCAATGTAGGGTAATGCAGGGATAAATAGCACAACCAGACATGTAAGAAATGATTTTGTATGAATTTTTAATCCCGAGAGTTAACCAGTCAGGATAACCCAAGAAAATCTGTGTCACCAAGGGCTGTCTTGTAACCATTGTAGGCCTTCAATCTTGCCCCCCAGGATGCAACCCACACCAGTCCACTAACACTCAAGTACCCACTTACTGCTAAGTGAATAGGGACAACACATGTCAGGAAACATGCCTAATGTATCCACTCATACCAAGGAATGGAACCATGGACAGTATGTGAGGCACAATAATGTGACTGTTACAATACACAAATAAATCAGACAGTCCCTCAATGACGCACATGCCTTTCTTGGAATATTCTAGGTGATTAACCCCCCCGGGGTTAAAAATCCCCCAAAATTTGAACCCCCGCATGTAAAGGAAAAAAAACTCATGATGACATTTCAGTCCGACTTGTACTAATGAACTAGTCACAGTCACGTTAGGCAGCTGTCATGAAGGTATCCCATGCCCTGGTAGGCAAAGCTGTCACTTCACACGGTGAGTGTCCGGGTTCGATTCCCAGCGAGGGTTGAAACATTTGGGGTTTCCTTACACCTGTTGTCTGTGTTCACCCATAAGTAAAATGGGTACCTGGGTGTTAGTGGACTGGTGTGGGTCACATCCTGGGTGTTAGTGGACTGGTGTGGGTCACATCCTGGGTGTTAGTGGACTGGTGTGGGTCACATCCTGGGTGTTAGTGGACTGGTGTGGGTCACATCCTGGGACAAAAGTGACCTAATTTGCAGGAAATGTTGTACATAACAAGGGACTTTCTATATAGTAGTATGTCATTGATGTCAGCTATGGTCTGTATACCTTGTACATGTACTGGTATACCTTGTACATGTACTGGTATACCTTGTACATGTACTGGTATACCTTGTACATGTACTGGTATACCTTGTACATGTACTGGTAGTAAATATATTTATTTCTTACACCAATAAGGTCAACATAGTCCTGCAGTGTCTAGTATTTTATTTCATTTGGGGTAGCACTAGTAAGTTTATTCAGGTATACACAAATACAGTTATACAGATTATCATACATAGCAGCATATGTATAGATTACACAGGATAACCCAAAGACGACACAGACTTTTTTGGGTTATCCCAGGTTGTCTACACATATGCTGCTATGTATGATAATCAGTGTAATTGTGTATAATTGAACAAACTGTCCAAACGTAGATCTACATTCACACGCGTAGCGCTTCAACCTTTATTTTCTCCATTTGAAAGCATGTAAAAAAAAAAAAAAGTAGACCTATGTCTGGAGCGCTACGCACATCAACGTAGCTCTATGTTTGGACAGTTTAAGGGTTAACCCGTAAACGGTCCAAGCAGATCTACGTTCACATGTGTATTGCTACAAAAGTAGATCTACGTTTTTTTTTTTACATATTTTCAAATATAACAAAAAAAAGTAGATCAAAGTTTTTTTTACACATTTTCAAATGTAAAAAAACAAAAAGATCTACTTTTTTTACATACTTTCAAATGTTGAAAAAACGTATATATACATTTGGACCGTTTATGGGTTAATATCTTATTAAACATCTGCCAATCCATGAAATATTACTGTTGGAACCATTGATTGTAATATTATTTATATTATACACAACTTCAAGATTATTATTCTTATAAATGTCCATCTTGACAACCTCACATTAGTACAGTGGACCCCCGGTTAACGATATTTTTTCACTCCAGAAGTATGTTCAGGTGCCAGTACTGACCGAATTTGTTCCCATAAGGAATATTGTGAAGTAGATTAGTCCATTTCAGACCCCCAAACATACACGTACAAACGCACTTACATAAATACGCTTACATAATTGGTCGCATTCGGAGGTAATCGTTATGCGGGGGTCCACTGTATTAACATTATATAAAGATTTTAATAAAGTTAACCACTCTTATCGTCTAGATTTTAGTTATTATGTACTAGGACGAGTCTGCCTCAAATACCCCGGCATGATTGTGACTTATTAAACCTAAATTGTGACTTATTAAACCAAAATTGTGACCTATTAAACCTAAATTGTGACTTATTAAACCAAAATTGTGACTTATTAAACCTAAATTGTGACTTATTAAACCTAAATTGTGACTTATTAAACTAAAATTGTGACTTATTAAACCTAAATTGTGACTTATTAAACCTAAATTGTGACTTATTAAACCTAAATTGTGACTTATTAAACCAAAATTGTGACTTATTAAACCTAAATTGTGACTTATTAAACCAAAATTGTGACTTATTAAACCTAAATTGTGACTTATTAAACCTAAATTGTGACTTATTAAACCAAAATTGTGACTTACTAAACCAAAATTGTGACTTACTAAACCAAAATTGTGACTTATTAAACCAAAATTGTGACATTAAACCAAAATTATAATTACACATTGTAACCTTTAGAAAGAAAGAAAATCATATTTAAACCTTAAAAGTTAAAAAAATTAACTTAAAACAGATAAGTAAACCTGTATGATTATAGTTATTGTATAGTAACATGTGTAAATTACCTAACAAAAAAAAAAATACAAATTTAAGCGCTAAACCCGTAAGGGAAATATCTTAAATAAATCTTACCTTAAGTTAAAATATAGTTTGTTTTTTTTTGCTACTAAAAAGTTTACTTACAATAAAAAATGTCACAATTAAGAGATGATGAACTTTTAAACTTACGTTACATTTATGGAGAAGCGCTAAACCCGCAGGGGGTCATACAGCTCCTGGGGGAAATTTGAGGCATTCAGTTTCGATCCGAGGAAATGAAAATCGGGTTCAGTTCCACGGATCAAGAGCCCATCATCGACATCAAGGAACCTCCCTTGATGGATAAATATTTACAAATTATAATCAAGGGGGAAGCGCTAAACCCGGAGGATTATATAGCGCCTAGGGGGGGGGATGTGGAAGGCATTTAGGGGAACTGGAGCACAGATCCAATTCCCTAAATCAAGAGCCCCTCAGCAACATCAAGGAACCTTCCTTGATGGATAAATATTTACAAAAATATTAGCTGGAGCCGTCCCGGCACTTCAACACTTACTCCCTTGTTTATGTTGTCAAATATTGTGTCTGCCAACATGTCAAAGCCTCGCTCAAACATAAAGGCGCCAGCGACGGTTGCCAGCACGAACGAGGAGGTCCGCCGGAACACATTATGATATATTCTAGAGACGAAGCCGCCAGCCATCTTGTCCCGGTGCAGCCGACACGCGATTCATATTTTACTTTGTATAATATTCTCTCTTCTTGAAACAATATTTTATAATGTTGTGATGCAAATTGTGTATTATTTTATTTTCTTGGTATAAATTTAGAATATTTGTAACATTTTTTTTATATGATGTATAAGTATGAATCGTTGACAAGTAAAAGCGTTTAAGCGTGGATACAAAAATACAGGATACAATACACGAATACAATAATACAAGCTTATTTTATTATGAAGATGCAGTTTCTATATCAGAAATTGATTAACACAGATTGTGTTATATATGGAAAAGCTTATAGCTAAATAATGAATTTTGAATTTTTTGGGTGTGGGTCGCCGCCCCCGCTTCCCTCACCCTGATTTATTACACTTAATTATTTTTTTAAAATCGATTTTTATGTATAATAACCGAACGATGTAGTTAATATTGTGTTATATCTGAGATGATGAGCAAGTGGTTTATCCCAAATGATGAAGCATGACGTCACAGTGGAACTCAACCAATTAAATCACAGAGTTGTGACGTCACGGCGGTGCTCGACCAATCACAGCTCAGAGTCCCTCTGTTTTGGATGTAGATCTTACAATATTGCCACACCTCGCCACATTAACAAACTTATAACCATTATTTTCCCACTATACACTAATTACACACCACCAAAATACATAATTAACACATATAACCAGATATTAACGTCACAACAATAACAAGATGCCCCACAGATGTTAATTAACCCCAAAAAACCCATAATAAATTAATATCGTGGCAGGTGGTCACGTGGGATCTGTAAGATCCTTGACAGTGTCACTTGAGATGTGTCAACAATTATTGTTAAATTATCAATGTTATTAGTGCAGGTATGTGCATGACGGAGCCCAGTGATCCAGCCGGCCAGGCAATGTTAATTTAAGATGGGGATTGTGTTAAATAAAGTAGTGGGTGGTGTTGTAGAGGGTGGAGGAGGGTGGAGGAGGCTCCTGTGCTCCTTCAGGGATCCTTATTTACTGCTCTGGAGGCTCCACTTGAGGTAGGTTTTAAGTGTTTACTGGGTGGTGGGTGGTGTGGGTGGTGCCGCCCGTTGGGTGGTGTCGCCTGTTGGGTGGTGCCGCCCACACCTCACACAGGTGTGTCTGCCGCCCTGTCACCTGTGTTGATGCCGGTGTGGAGCTTTGGATCCCAGGAAGTGGAGCTCTGCTCTCTGATGAGTTAAGAATATGTGTAACGTTTGGGTGTTGCAGGTGTTTATACTCAGGTGTTACACCTGTGTTGTGACCTGTATAGTGCCTGTGTTGTGACCTGTATAGTGCCTGTGTGGTGACCTGTATAGTGCCTGTGTTGTGACCTGTATAGTGCCTGTGTTGTGACCTGTATAGTGCCTGTGTTGTGACCTGTATAGTGCCTGTGTTGTGACCTGTATAGTGCCTGTGTGGTGACCTGTATAGTGCCTGTGTTGTGACCTGTATAGTGCCTGTGTTGTGACCTGTATAGTGCCTGTGTGGTGACCTGTATAGTGCCTGTGTTGTGACCTGTATAGTGCCTGTGTTGTGACCTGTATGGTGCCTGTGTTGTGACCTGTATGTGCCTGTGTTGTGACCTGTATAGTACCTGGTTGTGACCTGTATAGTGCCTGTTTGTGACCTGTATAGTGCCTGTGTTGTGACCTGTATAGTGCCTGTGTTGTGACCTGTAGGGGTCCCTGTGTTGTGACCGGGTATAGTGCCTGCGTTGTGACCTGTATAGTGCCTGTGTTGTGACCTGTATAGTGCCTGTGTTGTGCCCTTTGTATATTTGCCTGTGTTGTGACCTTTATAGTGCCTGTGTTGTGACTGTATAGTGCCTGTGTGTGACCTGTATAGTGCCTGTGTTGTGACCTGCATAGTGCCTGTGTTGTGACCTGTATAGTGCCTGTGTTGTGACCTGCATAGTGCCTGTGTTGTGACCTGCATAGTGCCTGTGTTGTGACCTGTATAGTGCCTGTGTTGTGACCTGTATAGTGCCTGTGTTGTGACCTTTTATAGTGCCTGTGTGGTGACCTGTATAGTGCCTGTGTTGTGACCTGTATAGTGCCTGTTTTTGTGACCTGTATAGTGCCTGTGTTGTGACCTGTATAGTGCCTGTGTGGTGACCTGTATAGTGCCTGTGTTGTGACCTGTATAGTGCCTGTGTGGTGACCTGTATAGTGCCTGTGTTGTGACCTGTATAGTCCCTTTGTGTGGTGACCTGTATAGTGCCTGTGTTGTGGCCTGTATAGTGCCTGTGTGGTGGACCTGTATAGTGCCTGTTTTGTGACCTGTATAGTGCCTGTGTGGTGACCTGTATAGTGCCTGTGTTGTGACCTGCATAGTGCCTGTGTTGTGACCTGCATAGTGCCTGTGTTGTGACCTGTATAGTGCCTGTGTTGTGACCTGCATAGTGCCTGTGTTGTGACCTGTATAGTGCCTGTGTTGTGACCTGTATAGTGCCTGTGTTGTGACCTGCATAGTGCCTGTGTTGTGACCTGCATAGTGCCTGTGTTGTGACCTGTATAGTGCCTGTGTTGTGACCTGCATAGTGCCTGTGTTGTGACCTGTATAGCACCTGTGTGGTGACCTGCATAGTGCCTGTGTGGTGACCTGCACAGCACCTGTGTTGTGACCTGCATAGCACCTGTGTTGTGACCTGCATAGCACCTGTGTGGTGACCTGCATAGTGCCTGTGTTGTGACCTGTATAGCACCTGTGTTGTGACCTGTATAGCACCTGTGTTGTGACCTGTATAGTGCCTGTGTTGTGACCTGTATAGCACCTGTGTTGTGACCTGCATAGTGCCTGTGTTGTGACCTGCACAGCACCTGTGTTGTGACCTGCATAGCACCTGTGTGGTGACCTGCATAGTGCCTGTGTTGTGACCTGCACAGCACCTGTGTTGTGACCTGTATAGCACCTGTGTTGTGACCTGTATAGTACCTGTGTTGTGACCTGTATAGCACCTGTGTTGTGACCTGCATAGTGCCTGTGTTGTGACCTGCATAGTGCCTGTGTTGTGACCTGAATAGTGCCTGTGTTGTGACCTGCATAGTGCCTGTGTTGTGACCTGCATAGTGCCTGTGTTGTGACCTGTATAGTGCCTGTGTTGTGACCTGTATAGCACCTGTGTTGTGACCTGCATAGTGCCTGTGTTGTGACCTGCATAGTGCCTGTTGTGACCTGTATAGCACCTGTGTTGTCACCTGTATAGCACCTGTGTGGTGACCTGTATAGCACCTGTGTAGTGACCTGTATAGTGCCTGTGTTGTGACCTGTATAGCACCTGTGTGGTGACCTGTATAGCACCTGTGTGGTGACCTGTATAGTGCCTGTGTGGTAACCTGTATAGCACCTGTGTGGTGACCTGTATAGTGCCTGTGTGGTGACCTGCATAGTGCCTGTGTGGTGACCTGCATAGCACCTGTGTGGTGACCTGGATAGTGCCTGTGTTGTGACCTGTATAGCACCTGTGTGGTGACCTGTATAGCACCTGTGTGGTGACCTGTATAGTGCCTGTGTGGTGACCTGCATAGTGCCGTGTGGTGACCTGCATAGTGCCTGTGTGGTGACCTGCATAGTGCCTGTGTGGTGACCTGCACAGCACCTGTGTGGTGACCTGCACAGCACCTGTGTGGTGACCTGCATAGTGCCTGTGTGGTGACCTGCACAGCACCTGTGTGGTGACCTGCATAGTGCCTGTGTGGTGACCTGCATAGTGCCTGTGTTGTGACCTGCATAGTGCCTGTGTGGTGACCTGCATAGTGCCTGTGTGGTGACCTGCATAGTGCCTGTGTGGTGACCTGCACAGCACCTGTGTGGTGACCTGCACAGCACCTGTGTGGTGACCTGCACAGCACCTGTGTGGTGACCTGCACAGCACCTGTGTGGTGACCTGCACAGCACCTGTGTGGTGACCTGCACAGCACCTGTGTGATGACCTGCACAGCACCTGTGTGGTGACCTGCATAGTGCCTGTGTGGTGACCTGCATAGCACCTGTGTGGTGACCTGCATAGTGCCTGTGTGGTGACCTGCATAGCACCTGTGTGGTGACCTGCATAGTGCCTGTGTGGTGACCTGCATAGTTCCTGTGTGGTGACCTGCATAGTGCCTGTGTGGTGACCTGCATAGTGTCTCTGTGGTGACCTGCATAGTGCCTGTGTGACCTGCACAACACCTGTGTTTGAGGTGGCCTGCTGCGCAACACCTGTGTGGTGACCTGCATAGCACCTGTGTGGTGATCTGCATAGCACCTGTGGTGACCTGCATAGTGCCTGTGTGGTGACCTGCACAGCACCTGTGTGGTGACCTGCATAGAACCTGTGTGGTGACCTGTATAACACCTGTGTGGCGACCTGCATAGTGCCTTTGTGGTGACCTGCATAGCACCTGTGTAGTGACCTGCACAGTACCTGTGTGGTGACCTGCATAGTACCTGTGTGGTGACCTGTATAGCACCTGTGTAGTGACCTGCACAGCACCTTTGTGGTGACCTGCATAGCACCTGTGTGGTGACCTGCATAGCACCTGTGTGGTGACCTGCATAGCACCTGTGTGGTGACCTGCATAGCACCTGTGTGGTGACCTGCATAGCACCTGTGTGGTGACCTGCATAGTACCTGTGTGGTGACCTGCACAGCACCTGTGTTTGAAGTGACCTTTACAACACCTGTTTGAGGTGACCTGCACAGCACCTGTTTGAAGTGACCTACACAACACCTGTTTGAGGTGACCTGCACAGCACCTGTTTGAGGTGACCTGCTGCACAACACCTGTGTTTGAGGTGACCTCTTGCCTGGCACCTGTGTTTGAAGTGACCTACCCAACACCTGTTTGTGGTGACCTGCACAGCACTTGTGTTTGAGATGACCTGCACAATACCTGTATCTGAAGTGACCACAGCACTTCTAAGGTGACCTGCACAACACCTATATCTGAGGTGACCTCTACAACACCAGTATCTGAGGTGACCTGCAAAACACCCATCTGAGGTGACTTGCACGACATGTTTGAGGTGACTTGAACAACTGTCAAAGGTGACCTGCACAGTACCTGTATCTGAGGTGACCTGCACAATATCTGAATTGACCTGATGCACAACACTTTTGTCCAAGGTGACCTGATCCACAGTGGAGGAGACCTGCCTGAGGTGACCTGCATGACACCTGTATCTGAGGTAACCTGCAGCACAACACCTGTGTATGAGGTGACCTGATACACAACACATGTGTCTGAGATAACCTATGCAACATTTGTGCCTGATGTGACCTGCACATCACTTTTATCTGAAGTGATGATACACAACACCTGTGACCTGCCACCTGTGTTTCAGGTGACCTGACACCTGTGTCTGAGATGACTCAGCACCTATGTCTAAGGCTACCTGTGTCTGAGGTGACATGACACCCAACACCTGTGTCTGAGGTGACCTGACACCTGTGTCTGAGATGACCTGCCAGACACCTATGTCTCAGGCTACCTGTACCTGAGGTAACCTTCCACCTGACACCTGTCTGAGGTGACCTGACACCTGAGGTGACCTGACACTTCTGTCTGAAGTGACCTGCCATTAGACACCTGTGTATGAGGTGACCTGCCACCCAGCACCTATGTCTAAAGGGTGACTTGCACTCAGCAGCTATGACACCTGATTGACCTGCCACCTGTGTCTGAAGCGACCTGCCACCTGACACCTGTCTGAGGTGACCTGCCACCCAGCACCTATGTCTGAATGACCTGCCACCTGTGTCTGAAGCGACCTGCCACCTGACACCTGTCTGAGGTGACCTGCCACCCAGCACCTGTGTCTGAGGTGACCTGACACCTGTGTCCGAGGTAACCAGCCGACACTGTGAGTGGTCTTGATTCAACAAGGAAATCTGAATAAATGAAGAATTGGTATAAATGAAAACTGCTGCATTAGCGAAATGCCATAAAGCAAAGTGCTGTAAAGCAGAGTCTGCTTGTACACATAAGTACATTATCATATAACATAAATTACTTAGGATAACCCAAAAAAGCTAGATACAGTGACTTATAGCCTCTTCTCTCTTGGCGATGTGCTCGTTTACTGAAGACTTGGACTTACGACGGGCTCTCTGACCAATGTGCATACCTAAATAGTGTATATTAGAGCGGATTTCCTCTCTTCTGTTTATCACAATATACAGTACATTACTGTATAAACATTTGAGATGGTTG